TTTTGTCATTTAATTTTTGTTACTTAAATTTAATCACAAAGTATTTCAGGAATACAAAAAGTAGAGGTATTATCAGGAGCACCCTCGTACCCACAGCCTAGTTTATGAGATAAAACATTATACAGTAGATATGAGAATACTTCAAAAAGCTCATGGAAAAGTAGAAAAGATAATATGAATCTTTCCATGAACTTTTTAAAGACCCTTCATACATTTGTAACCCCCTGTATACTTCACACCAATCCCTTTTCTCTCCCTAGAAATAACCACTATCACAAATTTGGTGTTCATTATTCCCACATATGGTTTTACATTTTTACTACACATGTATCTATAAACCTGATTTTAAATTTTCAAAGCATGGTATCAGAGTGTAAATATCCTTTGATATGTTTATTGATGGATGGTGTTCCACTGAATGATTATACCACAACCTTCCCTCTATTACTTTTACAGCCTCCTTACTTCCCTAGCCCCCACCCCACTGCTCCAGTGGGGTACAATTGATAAAATTCCAGTTTTTAGTTCCATATAGATTCTTAGCATATCTTTTGATCTCCTAAAGGACTTGAAAACATCCTGGCCCTTTCAGCAACACATTTATAAACTATCTATCAGTTTAGGATTCTTAGGATGCTTCTGCAGATAATTTCATTATTTAGTAATTCTTACTAGATTTATTCTGATAACCCTTTCTTGATTGTATCTCCAAATTCTTGGCACACTCAACTATAGTTCCCTGCTTTTCTGTAAAATCATCCTCCTAGGTGTTTAACTCTGTGACCCAACAGTTTATAATGGCAAGAAGCTATATTTTGAAGACCCAAGCCGACATTTTTCTTTCATCAGCCCTCAAACATAAATTAGCTTCCCACACTGTTATAATCTGAATGTTTGTGTCTCAACAAAATTCATATGCTGACACCATATGAATTTGCTGTTGTTTAAGCTACCCAGTCCATGATATTCTGTCATGGCAGCCTCAGCAAACTAATACATGTGCTAACCCCGATAATTTACTGCACAGTATATTGAAAAAGAGTCATCCAGGCGTCAAGAGCAGTGGGAGGTCTGGGTTCTAGTTTGAGCTCAGCCACTCTGCCTGTAGGGTATGACACTTAACCCCTTGAAGCTCCCTGTTTCTTGTCTATGAAATGAGGAGCTTTAAGTATCACTTCTTCAGGTCCCTTAAAACTTTCAAATTAGGGGCCAGCCTGGTGGCGCACTGCTACAGTGCACCGCTTGGGAGCGCGGCGGCCCTCCCTCCAAGGGTTCGGATCCCACATACAGACCGGTTCCTGCTCACTGGCTGAGCGAGGT